TTTATATTAATTATTATGTGTACTAATTGTACTAAACTGTACTAAGCTGTACTAACTGTACTAATTTCCCAACCCTGTATACAAGTGTTTTGTAGTAGGAAAAAAGAAAACTACCAAAAAAATTTTTTTTTGAGTTAATATTAAATCTGGATTTATTTTACTAAAAAAATAATATTTAGCTTAGAAAGTAAAAATACAAAACGCTCTATTATTATGATATTTATTTATCAAATACAAAATTTTATTCAGACTTTATTATTTATTTAAATTTAATAAAATTAATTTTATTATAAAATTATTATAATCTTCTTCTTAAAATTTGTTATTTTTAATTAACTCTTTATCTGCTATAAGATTATTATAATTAAAAATCATATCATCTTTAGAATTATCAATTTTTCTATGCATTTTTTACTTATGAATATACAAAAAATATAAAAGTTTTTAATATGCCTAAATGAAGTTAACTCTTAAACTTCATTTGTCATTCACTTATTATAAAATTCATAAATCTATTAAATTAAATATTTTTTTAATTTATATAATAATATATATAAAATAAATAAAAATTAATTAATAATATTTATATTAGATTTAAAGCTTTTATTAATTGATATATTAAGAGGTTACAATTTAAATATTAATCCACTAGGAATTACTATTATATTAGTTAATTTTTATATAATTTTTGTTTAATAGAATCAATTAAATAATTGTAAAAAGAATCTAAGATAAGAAGTTAATTAGAATCAGAAAAGTCAATAGTTCTTCTAGACTAAATATTTTTTACCTACTATATTATTTTATTTTGATTAATCTATCCTTTTACATTTACTTTTATAAATATATTACTAAGAAATATTTCTCTAAGTATATTCTTTAATTTAAAAATAACAATAAATGACAATTTTGATTCATCAGTTATACAATTCAAAATAACTTTAAATATACTTCTTTTATATTTGGTAGTTTTAATATTAATAGTATTAAACTGCATTTTCTAAAATATATGAATTAGATAAATCAAAGAATACTGATGTTTTATTCATATTTAAAGTAGGTAATTATATTATATTCTTTTATAAAGAATAAAACTCAAAATCTCTGCTATTTTTCTTATAAGTCTTTTGGTAAAAGTTAAAATACTGTTATTTTTTAACAATTTAAAAGATTAAAACAACTTATAAAATAGTCTATCCATTTATTTGAAAATTTAAAAAAAGAAATATGAATATTTTTCTTAATATCTATTAGTTTATACAAATTCTTTAGTTTTATTTACTACTATATTTTTAGTAATTGGAAATTTTGTTCTTAATATTTTAAAATCTAATTTATTAATTCATTTTTAAATCAAAAAAAAAGGTTAGCTATATCTATATAATTTTAATAAATAAGATGTAGAAGTTTTAAGCTGATCTTTTTTCTTTTTTTAATTATAAATTTGATTTAACTATAAATTAAATGTCTTATAGTAATATAAACACTATTTGAATTATTTAAAAAATATAAAACTATTAAAAATAAATCTAAAATGTTTAATACTTTTATTTGTTCTAACTATTTTTAATAGTGAAATATGATATAAAAAGTGAAATGTGTTATAAAAAAATTGAACATAATAACATCAAAAAATCTTATATATTTATATTTATATAGTCTGATCAAATTACCCTTTTCCTTACAAAGTATTTTCTAATCAAAACTACCTAAGTATTTTGCAAATTCATAGATAAATTTATAAAATACCTAAGGTAGTTTAGTTAGTATTCTATAATATTATTAATTAAACATAAAATATTATATATATTAAGCAACTACTTGTGATGATCCTGATATTGGAGATTATCAAGTAGCTATTTCTATCAACTTACTTTTTAATAATGCTCCTGTTTCTAATAATATATCTATTAATTTTTATATAGATTTATTTATATTGCAAAGGCAATTAATTAGTGAAATTTACATATAATTTTTATTATAGGATCAGTAACAACATATAAAAATTGAAAAATGAATATCTTAAGGATAGAATTTAAAACCAATTGCATTTTTGAAACTGAATTTAAAATAGATGTAATCAGTTTGATCCTTTTAAATCAGTTTATACAAATCTAGTTGAAACTGATCTTTGCAACTAGTTTTATATTTATTAATTATCAAATTTACAAATTTTACGTAAAAATAACTTATTGAATTTTTGCTTAAAAAATAATAACACAAAAATAATTTGTTCTTCAGCATTTAAAAAACTTTTATTATGTCAAAAAAACTTTTAAAAACAATATTATTAATCAAATTACTTCATAAGCTTTTATATTGTAAAATTTGTAAATTTTACTAATCTGATTAAAATGATCATTTCTTAAATTTAAAATTAAAGCATAAATTTTTGTAAGTATCAAACCGGTTAGAACACCCGTTTGCATCCGTTTCTGATTTTCGTAGGTCAAACTGAATAGTCAGAAAACTGGTTAAAACTGGATTGAAAACTGAATGGTACATCCGGTTCCAAACTCTACTCAAGGGTCATCTTTTATGCAAAGTTCATGATTATATTTAACAATATATCGGTTAATAATAGTCAAATATTTTTATCAAAAAAGTTTCTCTATAATTTAATTTCTTTGTTTCTTATTGTCACGGATTAGTAAAAAAGTTACTTTTATTTATAAAATTAATGAATAGTAACTTATTTATTTTTTTAATATTTCACATTAAATTTATACTTCTATCGCATTAGTCATGGGTTCCATCCTCCTACATCGGGTCGGAATTCATTGCCATTAACAACTGATTTGTTATCAATTTGTATCCACCAATTTGGAAGTTGTTGTTTAATTGAAATCATTAATGAAGAATGAACTTCTGACTTCATACCACCATCGAACCGTGTTACACAAATTATAAGGATCAGGAAATTGATCGGAATTATTAAGTCAAGAGAGTAGCAACTTACTTTGATGAATAGTTTATCATCAATTCTTTCGGTTTGAAAGATATTTTGGAAAATTCCAAGAAAATTTTCACGTTTCTTTGTTTTAATGGATGGCAAATCGATCTCTAAAACAGCTAGATCCGAACCATCTTTTTGTGATCTTTTTCAATTTGATCTACTAGCCTAAAAATAATGAGTCGTTAGTCATAATCCATTCATCATATTCTTAAGTACTACATTTTGACTCAGTATTTTTTCACAAGACTTTGAATCAAAGTTTTTATTTTAGGAATTTTGATTGTAGTGTGAATGAATAGTTAAAAGCTGAAATCAAGAAATAATACCTGTCCACTACTTGAAATATTTGAGATAACGTTAACACTAAAATCATTCTCATTTCACAGAACGTGGTTGTCATGATTAGGTGGAAAAATAAGTTGAGAAATGACAAGTAAATTTTATCCCTTATACTCGCGTTCCTTATTGGAAAGACTAAGTGGTCTCACAAAAACAGAAGAATATGATAATGTATATTATTTTTAAAATGAATATTTACAATAAATATTGATCGCCGAGATCAAATTAAACAGATAGGTCATATTTAATATCCTTCCATGTAATTTATATAGAGGGTGGTTTATAACGATAATTAAACGTAAAATCATCCCTTTGTAAAAAATCACCAATTTTTGTGAAACCGGATTTGGCTAATAAAGGTTTGCTACGCGAATTTTTTTTTTTTTTTAAAAAAAAAAAAATTAGTAGTCTTTTCCTAATGTTAATTTAATGTCATAAATAAATTTAGTATATTAAATTTATTTATGTATAATGTGTATAAATTTTCTTGAAAAAAAAAAAAATAAAAAATAATCTATAATAAAAAAATGCAGAATTGAATTGAATGTTTTTGGTATATATATATATATATATGTAAGGAAATCAAAAATAAACTTTCTTGATACACAAGCCATAAGGACGTAAGTCCGCTCCATCCGGTGAAATCCAATATTCACCAATTCCAGTTTCACTCTTTGAAATTCTAACCAAATTATTCGGATTAACCCTATTTTGAAATACAACTAAATACTGCTCTCCATTAAAAGTGTATTTGGTAGCATATCTAGATGCGACATCAATGTCCGGTGTTGAATAAATTCCACGCCCAAATCTGAATCGTTTACCCTTACACAACAGATATCCGTCTTGAGCGATTGATTTAAAATTATGCTCGGCAGTTCCATGGTAAGAAACTATTTAAAAAACAAAATTCATAGGTATGAGTAAATAATGACTAAAAATAAGAAAAAAAAAGGATTTGTTAATTTTACCTGGCCATTCATTGGTTACGGAATTAGTGAAATGACTTCTTCTATTACCACCTACACCAAGCCAAAGATTATTTTCATATTTGTCAAGAACGTTAAGGGCAATTCTTTTCCAACCACAAGGACGTTTATATTCAAAAGAACCTCGCATAAAGGTTTTTCCATGATCATTTACATTTGTAAAATCAAAATCAAATCTTGGATCAAGAAGATTTGGATGGATAAATAGTGCATCATTAGCACCACTTAATATTAAATGCAAGGTGGAGTTATAAGTTATTCTGTAATCTGATAACTTGAATTCATCTAAAAGTTGATTACCAGCATAGATTAATCGTTGATTAGCTGGTTTAATGCCTTCCTCATCTTGAATGATCGATTTTAATTCGTAAACAGTTATATTAAAACTTTCAATTGAAATTGTAATGGTTTTATCGCTCAAAGTCTTTACAAATATAATCTTTTTAAATGGTTGGGTAGCTTTAGAGGGCATTCTCCGAAGAGTTGTTGGCACTATCCCACCGACTAAATGAGATTGATGAAGTGCTTCTTGATTTAACTGAATACTCCTCCTATATCTATATTTAGAATCATCGTAGGTAATAATGTTGTTATTGGTAATGGCACTGAGGGCTGCGGCTAAATGTGAATCCATTTCTGAACGATTTTTTTGATTTTTAATCTTTTTTATTGATCATTACTTTTAACATAAAATTTTCTTTGATGGTTATTGATAATTCTAATTCTATATAACATGTAATAAGTAGAAATTGTGTGAATCAAAGACTTTTTTTTTGCTATAGTCCTTACAACAACAAAATGTTTAAAAACTTGAAAAAATTTTAATTTTAATTTTGAAGCGTTCATAAAGTAAACCAACTAATTTTTTCAGTAAGTTTTCGTGCCGCAGTTTCGTCAAAAATATTTTCTAGCCTCCTTAAAAATATAGGATCAAATGACCGGAATTTCATCACCGAATAACTATTAAATTTATCTATTTCTATTTTTAACGTTGTAACACTAAATATAATTTTAATATTACTGTATTAGACCAACAAAAACGTTTTCCTAAAAGAAATGCTTGGTTCAATTTTGATACATTTTGTTGTTTATTCCTGCACAAGCATTCATCAAATGACCCAGGGCTTTATGACATGTGTTCACTTATAGTATGTTTACTCCTAATTTTCGTTCTTCCAGAGGATTTTATCCTTTGACAAAATAAATAAATGAATGTTAATTTTTTTATTATGATAAAAAAATTATATATTTGTTGATACATGATTTTCGGATTACCGTTGAAAAATCAATTTCGTTGAAGTGTTCTACTGCGCCAACGATTTACACAGCTTTCATGTATATTATTCGTTGGGTGATCCAAATGAGCGTGTTATAGATTTGTGTAAATATAAACGATTCGCATTTGAGTATAGAATTTATTCAACACCAGATATTGACGTTGCATCTGCATATGCTACTCAATTCACTCATAAGGGAGATAAATATCAAGTTTTATTTCAAAATCGAGTTAATCCAAATAATTTAATTAGACTTACAAAGGAAGAAACTAGAGTTAGTGAATATTGGATTTCGTCAAATGAAGCAGATTTACGTCCTTATAGTATCTGTATTAAGAAAATTTATTTTTAATATTATTTTAATATTATTTTTTTTTTAATTAAATATTCAAATATCTTATATTAAATATTGATTCGAATCTTCAAAAAGCAGAATATATTTAAAATGTTTAAATGTAATATTGCGAATAAACTTTTATATTAAAGATGCATATTCAAAATTTAAAAATTTATTTGTGATCTCATTGATTATGCTATATTCTATGTATTCTATATACTATGACGGGATGAATATGAAAATTTATAGTGATTTTATTTTTTATTAAATTATTTTTATCTTGAAATGAGTACTTGAATTTCCTTAGTAAAAACTTGAAATCATATTTTATCCACTGTATTCTGAATTAATTACTTATAATTATGTTATATTATGATAAATTGAATCAAAAATATTTATATGATAATTTTTCATATGTAAAAGTATTCACTTTATTGTGAGATCTATTGCATTATACAGATCAATTTTCCTTTTCTTCATTCCTGACCAGAGTCATGTAACTTTGAATGTTTTGACTGATAAAAATAAGATATAATCAATTTCTCATATTTTTTATTCTCTTTTCTTAATAAGTAATCAAAAGTTTCAATATTACAAAAGAAGAAAGAAATGCCTTATACACTTTCTTCATTATTAATTTAGATAAAAGAACTTAAGCGGAATCATCTTTCCTACCTGTGAAGATGAAGAGGTATTTACTTATTTGAAAAATCTCTTAAAGCCTGATACATTTTCTCATATATTTTACCTAAATAGATAATGTTGCTTAAACTTTCATTTTGTCATATTTGCTTATATTTTTTTTTGTTTTTAATTTTGTTTTTGCTCTATCAATAACCTATCTAAAAGAAGAAAAATTAGAGATTATAAGAAATAAACATCAATGAGTCAAAATTATATTATGTTGAAAATAGCATTTAGGAGAGAATTGAATAAACCTGAAGAGGATTTTATGTTGATGCCTTTTTGAACTATTTAGATAAATATGCAAAAGTATAGAGACCAAATAAATTCTACTTCCCTTATACATCATATGTATAAGCGAGTAGGATAGAAAGTAAGGCTATTGCAGGAATTGGCAACTGAAAAATGTCTTAGTAATTTATATTTGTCTACGTAAATCTATATGGCATGGTTATTCAAATTATTCAACTGTTACTAATAATAATGGGATTAAATACACCTAATGCTAAGTACTTTTATTTATATTGTAACTGTCAATCTAATATATAATAGGATATAGATCAAAATTATAAAAATCAGAAAATAATGCTCATAAGTTTTTTTATTTTTATTTTTATTTATTTATTGTTTAATTATATTAAAATTTTTTTTTTTAATTAAGCAAAAATAAAAAACCAGCTTTATTTCTTATAATTAATCAAGAAAATTATATTTTTGATAAATTGCATTTATTTTACCTATTATTAATATTTTGATAGAATATTTTTTAATGAATTAATTAAAATAATTAAAATTGAAAATTAAATAAACAATACATAATATTAAAGTTCATTTTAAGTTTTCAAGTCTAGATCTACTAATGAAAAGTAAGATTAAACTTTTTAATAATTCTGATAAAAAGGAAATATTAGAATATTTTTCAATTTTTCAGTTTACTTTTATCATTTATAAACAAGAAATTAGAAAATTATAAAAAAAATTTCTTTGACTTTATAAAATTTTAAGAAAATCTTTTTTTTGAATCAAGAAATTAAAATATTTAAAATTAATGATAAACAATAGATCTATACTTATATTATATAACTGAAGAATATTCTAATATTATAAAAATCTGAATTATATCGCAAACAAAATATAATCTTATATATGCATATCTTGTATAATATATATATCAATTTATGCGTCAATTAAAGATTAAAAATTTATAATTATGATTTTTTACCTCTTACATTAAAAAAAACTATAATTAAATAATATTTATAAATTATATTTATAAGATTATTTATTATATTTATTAATGAAATTTTTAATTTAAATTTGATTATTTTTTGTGATATTATTATGAGTGAAGGAATTAAAAAAATTAGTAATACATAATATTATGTCTTTTGTAAATTAGTAATTATTTTATTTAATTAACAAAATTCCTAAGAAAATTAATGCTAAAAATATTGATTTTAATAAAAAAAATTAAAACATTTATAAATCATCTATTATATATTTAATTTAAGAAAAATTGTTGAAGAAGAGAGTATAATAAAATAATTTTATATTATAATTGATTATTATTTGTGATATTAAATATTGTAATATGACTTTTAAATTTTTGTAATTTTTATTAATAAAAAATTATTTAATTAAATTAATACTAAAACTTTCATAATTATAAAAATTTGTATTATGACCAGGTATCGATCTTAATGATCATAGATCTATAATTGTGTATAGTAAAGTACAAATGTCGATAATGTCAAACATATTTAACATGTCTAATATTTTTAATATAGTTAATATGTCTAACATATCAGATATGTCTAACATAGTTAATATAGTAAATATAGTTAATATAGTTGATATAGTTAATATAGTTAATATATTAGATATATCAAAATATGTAGTAGAATAGATATAAATACAACCTCTTTGTCAATTAGAAGAAATAAGATCAATGGCTGTATATAACCTTTCTTTTATTAAAGATAGCACAATGCTACTCTTCGTCTTGTATATCTCTGTTCTTATTTCTCTTTTCTTATTTTTTTCATATATCATTATCTTATTATTTTCTTTTTCTTCAATAAAGTATTTCTTATTTCTTATCTGAAACTCTTCTCGAACTTACTGTGATAACTCTTAACTTGTGATTGAAGCTATTCGTATCTAATAAACTTGATTCAACTTGATAAACTAGTAATGAGTTAGTTGAGATTATTGTAAACTAACTGGAATTATTATGTAAACTATAAAAGTGTCAACCCTCTGACATCATATCTAACAGTTGTAATCTGAAAAGATTGCACATTAACAATATAGATTTAAATTTTACTTATCAATAAATTTTTCTAAATTGATTATAAAGTGCAAATGATTACATTACATTAAAATACTCAATTATTTTTAATTAATTTAGTCTGTATTTAACTAAAAATAATCTCATAACCTTTCTCAAATAATACATATTCAATTAATTTTATTTTAGAATTCTATTGATAGTTCTAATATTCATAATTTAAAATTTGTTTCAATCTTTATTCTTTCTTCATACCTTTAAATATGCAATGATATTTTTATAATATTAAATTATATCTGAAAGAAGTTTTACTTTAAAATAAGTAAACAAAAACTTTTTTAAAAAAAGATATTTATAAAAAGCTATTTAAATCTACAGAATGTTTATTAAAATTAAATGTCTTTTAATAAGTATTATAAATACATTTTGGTAAAATATAAAGCTATTCAAAAGAAAGCTAAAGAAGTAAATAAAAATAAAGTATAATTTTATTATTTTAGTATTTAATCCTTTTATAAGTTAAAAGTTATTTTTATAAATAAAAGACTGTTAATTAAGATAATATCTAAAAGTCATCTTAAATATAAAATAGTTGATATAAAAAAATATAACATGTTAGTTGTAAAAAAACATAATTTAATCTGTTTACAGATTCTGATAACAATAATTTTTATATTATAATTATTATAAATATATATATCACATCAAAAATAAAATTAAATAAAGTTAAATTAGCCCATATATTATGTAGAATATGTTTAAGCTAGAAGATTAAGAATAATAGAATTGATAATATTACTACTACAATATCTAATAGTAAGATTTTTAGTTATTATCTATTACCTTTTTTTTTACTTCTTCTAAATTATGTACCAAGTTCATAAAATCTATTTATATTAACTTAAAATACAAAATTATAATAATAATAATAATAATAATAAAAATAAAAACTTCTATTTTGATAATATAATAAATAAAAATTTTAAAAGACCCAAAAATAATATATTTAAAAATTTATTGTATTATTATTTTTTGTAATTATAATA